AGAAACAATGTATATAATATGTATCTAAGAGCACAGTGAATAATGAAGCATAGAAGGAATTTAAACACTACTCTTTGATAATTACATACTATGGAATAAAAGTAAACAAATTAAAATAAATTAGCACTGCAGACATTTTTGTCGAATGATAATTAAAAAGTGGGCTGCACTATCTAAAAAAAACGCTATATTAAGTAATTTCCATATTGTTAAATGTGTTGTATATCATTGTAATATCATGACTTTTGTTATTTTATTATGTCATTCATTTGATATCGTGTATTAAACAGTAGGTACCTCTTGTGAGCTTATAATATGTATTATGTTGCAACAAAAACGTTGAATGTCATAGAGTTGAGTTATTAAATTAAGTTAGGTTGCTAACACACACGGTAGGTACATTAAACTCACGAGAGTACACAAAAGTATTAGTGACAAAGTGTAACCGTCACGATTTACTGCAATGAAATGATATTTATTGAGCATATTATGATTTCTACACTCACCAAAGACGGCACTGCTCCGTGCCGCAGACGTCGGCGTTGTGCATTTCCTGCAGCGTAGTCAACACGTAGTGTTCGGACGAAATGCCTCGAACACAGCTTCGATGCGTTGGTCACAGGAAAACCGCGGTCCACCACAAATGCCGTCCACTCGACTCGATAAACGTCGATTGTTGGAAATCTAAAGGTGACATAATATAAATGATTTTATTACATTGCTATGCATCAACGTGATGTGTAAAATAATTGTAAATACCCATGTACTGAAACGCCATCGATGTTGTCCACTATTCCGCATATAACGCAGCGTTTGACCATTTTGAATAGTCTATATTATAAGTAAAAAGTAAAAAGTAAATACTAAATAATATGAAAACATATTACATATGTGTTATTTTTAGAAATAATAGATAACCACCGGCTTAATGTACATACAAAATAGAAAAATACGAAAAATTACATAGGTACCCAGCTTTTTACTAACGCAAAATTCCAAGCGATAAAACATGTGTACCGCAATGGTAACGCGCCGAAACGGCCAACGGACTTACGCGTCTACACCTCTCACAGCTAATACGAATGAAAAACGTTATAGGTATTCAAAGTAAATTTTGCGGTGTACGAAAAAACACGAAACGCGCGGAAAACGAATGACGAAAAACGAAAAACGTGTGTAGGTGGTGAAAATATGTTCATTCGCGATACGCGCTGCCATGAATACTGTTACATGCGGCCCTTCAGGGATCCAAAAGCTTGTTGCACTTTTACAATAAAATGTAGTCAATTTTAAATATAAATCAATTGTAATTTATTAAAACCAATAATAATTAATATAGTCGTGGTGAATTGCAGCGTCGTGAGTTGACTCGTTGTAGTAGTCGATAATCTCCATGTAAGTCGTGTGTAATGGCTGGTGGCTAAGCGGCTCGCTCGGTCTTGGCGGCTCTGGTACATCTACTCAGGCTGTCTCGCTGTCCCCTATATATATGGTGGCGGCGTCCTTTGAAAGTGAGCGGCGCGTGTACAGTCGTCCTTGATATGGACCTCACGACTATGAAAGTGGTATTCGTAGTCGAAAACACTTTTGGGTGTGGTCGCATTCCTGGTTGTTATTATGAGCAAATGTATGATATTGCGTAATCCCATTCCTGGTTGTTATTATGAGCAAAATACATGATATTGCGTAATCCCATTACAACTCCCTACCAAAAAAAAGATTGTTAACCTTTAAGGGTTAAAAATCTTTAACATCGTTAATTAATAGTTTACAATGGCTGAATTACATTGTTTACATTGACATTTAAATTTTGTATACAGTTAACAATTTGATTATAGTATTACATTTGATTACAATAATGTGAGCATTTTACAATTTTTAATGTCATCATTATTATTATTATTGTTTTTTTTCTTTTGTTCATATTACAATTTTAATTGTGGTTAGTAAAATAAATTAATACATGATTTAATTAAACAATTAGTGTTAATAAAAATGATTAATAATCTTTAATAAAATAATATAGGTACCTGAAATTATAACATTATAAGCGTTACGTAAGTATACAATTTAAGTATTTCCCCTTTTATATAATAATAATATTTATCTTCCACCTATATACTAATCTACGTGAATAATTGTTAGATTTGTCATAGACATATGCAACTATAGATTTACTTAAGGTAATTCATTATGTAATTGGATATATAATAAATGTTAATTTATTGTTTAATTTATTTTGTGTTAGATTTATTATTAATTATAATAACTTATTTATTTTTAAAATTTCATAATTATTTTTTTTTGCTAAATTATATAGTTTAATGGGCTTTATCTTTGTTACTATGTAATTGAATAAGCATTTCGTTAAAATTACGTCTGCAACCGGATCATGACAATGTGTAATATTATGATTAATATCGCATGCTAGTTCATGAGCTTCTGACAATCCTAACATTCTACTATTTTTATTACCTAAATAGCCTGAATATAATATTTGCTTAGTTTCTAGGTTTGTTAATTCTATTATATATAATCATCGTTATTCCTAACGCTAATTGCCGATATGTTTAAATATGCTAAAATTCCTGTTAATCTTAAGCGCTTAATTATCGTGATATCTGACGATCCGTTCCAAAATACTATTAGCGGCTCCCTATCGTTTATGTGCAAATATCTTTGCAAGTATACCGTAGACAAGGTCGATCCCCCCTGGTGACTTATATTTTGTATAATTGTTCCAGCAATGGTTTAATCACTCTTGCCTTTTTCCCTCGGAATACTTGTTTGATATCCTGCACTATTTCCTTTAGGTCGCATCGGCGAAATCTTCTTAACTTATCATCCTTTGTAAGTATAAGAGGACTCCCCTCCAATTTCTTTCGGTTGGTAATTGTATAAAATGTTAATAATAATTGCATAAAATGATAAATGTTAATAATTGCATAATTCAAAACTTAAATGTATATAATATTCTGATTAATATGTGTATGTGAATATATTATAAAATATTAAAATGTATAGTCTAAATTGTATAAAATGTTAATAATAATTGCATAATTCAAAACTTAAATGTATTAATATAAATATAGGTAACTACTTTTGGTAATATTTGGACACATGTTTTAAATAAGTGAACTTGGAAATTTTATTATCGTTCAAATCATTTGATAAATTTTTAATATTTTGTTTTTTTTTGTTAAAAGCACTATTTTTAGTGATTGTATTGATATTTATTCCATTTATAAGCATGTAAGTGTCAGTTTGTATTTTTGTATTTAAAACACGGGTAAATATGAAAATGTTGGGATGAGCTTTTGTGAATTGTGAATTAAATTTTGAGTGATAAGACTCACAGCTATTAGTAGTACGTTCTGATGTAATTTCCCTTGATGCCCAAATGTGTGGATTGAATTTTGCTCCTTCATCAATATAATATTCCACCAAATAATCGCAGAACTTTCCTACCCTTTCATCATCTGGAGCAATTGACATCAAATCTGTCGCAAAACAATCGCTTACTTCTTCCGAATTTAACAATGGTAAGCCGAATACCAATTTTAGCCAATTACCTATTTCACTTGATTCATCTTTATATTCTTTTGATAAACCTAAAAAATAAATAAATTAATACAATTTATTAATTTTTATTTGTATGAGTATTCAAATTTATATTTACCAAGATTTTGAATGTGTTTCCACCAATTTTGGGTCAAATGAAATCGGCATCCAACAATTTGTATTTCTGGCCAAATTGTTTTTGCTCCAATATGTATTGCTTCTTCGAAATCGGATACTATTTTCGATGGACTGAACGATAAATTTATTTCTGAACATTTTTCAATAACATAACCAAATGATCGTGCATATGTGTCTTTACATTTATCGGGTAGTAAAAAATACACAAGTGGAACATAATGTCCGTTCTTAAAAATGTGGATGGTAAAAAGTTGGAGAAAATATTTTGCACAGTATGTAAAAGTTCCATCCACAAATATTTTGTCTACTGAACATAATAGTTTTAAGTTAGATTTTGTTGAAAAACAAATAATTTTGTTATCTGAATTAACAACAAGAACAAAGTTTTCATCTTGGACGGTTTTAATTTGACGCTCGCTCATTACATCGATTACTTCATTAAGATTTGTTGGGAGTTTAGGATATGACGATCTACGCGAACGGTATAAACATTGATAAATATTATTAATGTCTGTACTTGTAAAAGTTTGTGTCACTTCTGGATTCTTTAAAATGCCTCTATTAATAATTTTTGATGGCCTTTCCAATTCGTCTTCCGATTTCCGCTTAAGTCCATTTGAAAATGATTTTTTTAAAATACTTGTAGTTTCTTCTTTATGGTTGATATTATGAATACTTTCATCTTTCAATATTTTATTTGTTGCTTGATTCACATAAATTTTTGCAGTACACTTTTTTTTTACACACTGCCATTTAAAGGCATCTAAATACTTGACATAGTCTTTTTTATAATATTTATAATCATTATATAAAATTAAATCATTTTTTCTTTCACTAGAAACTATAGTAAAGTTCATTTTAATTAATTATAACTAATAAGTAATAAAGCTGTAAGAAATATAATAATACGAATGGCGACACTATGCACGCGATGGAGAATCGATGAGAATCCACGAACTGCTGGGGGCCAATTCTTGAAATTGTGATAAACTTTGTCGCATGCGATAAAAATTTTATCGCATGAAAATAAATAGTTGGTATTCTTGAATTATGGTATGACTTTAGTCGAACGAAAAACATTCGACTATTAGTCGAATGGGTATAAAGTCGGTGACTAGTCTATATCGCATGATAATTTGTGATAATAAATTGTTATATTAAATTATTAAAACCTAATCAGTTATTAGTTAAATCAGTTAATAATTTTAAATTTGAGTATTGTAAATTTGTAATTGTGTTTTTGTCATAAGTCATTAGTCACTTATTACTTGTTTTTTATTACTGTGCTCTATATTATTAAAATGGCTAATTTTGAAGATATGGCAATGCTGTTTGCCATTAATAACGTCGAGGAACACGAACATCACAATATACATAATGAAAGACAGACGCGAAATCGAGACATTATAACAGATCCTTTTACATTGTCACATCGTTTATTTGTAAAAAACTTTAGACTTACTAAAGACGTTGTTAGAGATTTGATTAACCTATTAAAACCACATATAGTTTCAAACCATATACGTTCGTCTGCAATTGATTTGAATACTAAAGTAAGAACATGTTCTTAATATTTTTTAATTTTTTATTATTGTATATTGTTATAAATTGAGATTTATTTATTATTTAGGTTTTTGTAACTTTGAATTTTCTGGCTACGGGCTCATACCAGTCTCCTATTGGTAACAGCCGATTTATGGCTCTATCACAACCAACTGTATCCCGCTGTATCAGTGAGGTTGTAGCTGCACTAAATCTACCGGAAATATTTAATGTTTGGGTTAAATTTCCAAAAGACATTAATGAACTTACCGATATCCGTAATGGGTAATTTAAATTTTTTTATTCGGCAAATTCGAGGATATTTTTAATAATTTTGTACTATCTAGTTTTTACAGAGATACAGGATTTCCCGGCGTTATTGGATGTATTGACTGTACCCAATGTAATCACACCTCCTTCGTCAAACTTAAACTTAGATGAAAACCAGCATCCTGAGCATATATATATAAACCGTAAAGGATATCATTCAATCAACGTTCAATTGGTAATGTTCTATTAAATTTTAATGTTATATATTAAATATCCATGCAAATTTATTATATTTAAATTGATAACACATGCAAATAATCTTATGTAATATTTTTTTATAGATCATTACCTATGTACTGTGTTAATATTAGGCATGGCTTAGTGAAATTGTCCTCATAAACCATAAAAATAAATAAAGATATTCATGATAACGTTTATAGTACCTATAATTATGTATTAACAATTTATTCTTTAGATTTGTGATTCAAAGTTAAAAATATTGAATGTTAATGCATTATTCTCAGGCAGTACTCATGATATACATGTATGGAACAATAGTTCTGTGTTACCAATATTACAAGAATTGCACAGACGCAATTATAATGATTTTTATTTATTAGGTAAATATAATTTCTCAAAAGTCCTTATTAAAAAATATATACTTTGGTGTATTATTAGTAATTTAATAATATTATCAGGTGATTCTGGATATCCATTGCGTCAATGGCTCCTAACACCGATATCAAATCCTTCCACTGAAGCCGAGGAATATTATAATAAAAGGCAAATGTCAACCATGAGTGTAATTGAACGCTGCAACGGAGTCCTAAAAATGCGATTTAGGTAAGATCTTTTAAAATTTAGCTTTTGAAATAATTTAAATAAACAACTTGTTTATTATTTTTTTAGATGCTTGTTGAAAGATAGGACCTTGCATTACAAACCGGAGAAAGCATCATCTATTATAAATGCATGTATAGTGCTGCACAATATGTGTATCTCAAACAACATAGAGCTAGTAGATGAACCTGATGTCCGAGGGCTTGATGATTTGGGTATGATAGAAAATGAAGATACTGTGGCGAACCAGTGTTCACCACATGCTCCCTCCCTATGTCGGTCGCGCTCCCAGTGTTGGCAGCACCGCTCGGCCCTCCGCGTCGTTCGCGACCGCGAAGCGTCGGGCGGCTGCCAACGGGCTCTCGCTCGGCAACCGTCAACCGACGTACACGACGTGCACAGTCCGTCCCGCCGCCATGTTTCGACGCCGTTCAAAAACCGCCGCACAATGACGCACGTGTCCGCGTTTCGTCGTCCCGTCTAAAAACCACGTCAGCACGCCCGCAAGCACGCCGCCGCTACCACTGGTACGCTCACGGCACCCCGAGGCACGACTTTGGTTTTTACCCTACGACGACACCGCGCGCCCACGACTCACATGACGCCGCACCCGAGCGCCGCCGACATTTTCGCCACTGGCTAATCAAAACTGTTCCTTAACATCTGGCTTACAATAAATACCGTCTACTCGCAAAACCAACCCGAGTGTATTTATTTCATTCCCCCTGTTTATGTTGGCCGCGTAAGTTGCGTGAACCTCACCTAAAACCTACGCGCGCCACATTGGTGACCTCTTCAAAAACGAACACGCACGCCGAACACGTGCTCCAACACCGCGTAAGTCGCGCACGCCGAACACGCGCTCCAACACCGCGTAAGTCACGCACGCCGAACACGATGACAGCTCAGACAGACCAGCAACACGGCTTCTCCGGCGCTCCGGATCAGGTACTCAGCCGAGCACACATGGTTGCGCTCAATACCTCGACTCCGCAGGCCAGCTCCGTCCGAGTTCTCTCCATGCCGCACACGCTGTTCATCGTGCAGGCAAGAACTCGCGTTCACCACCGGTCGGACGCTCCGACCCCGCGACCTCCATCGCTCAAAGAGCAGATCCGTCGCACGCCGCCTCCGCCGCCGGACATCACTCGTCTCTGTCATCGTTCTCAACTCTCAAACTAAACCAACCAGCATCAATCAACTCCAGCTATCAATACGTCAAATTCTAAATTCCGCTTCACCTCATTCATCATCTCAATCCCAAAATCAACGCAAAATTCATTCGTCATCTCAAGATACACTCGCCCGCCGTCCTTCCGTTTGAGCAGAAAGCGCGCACGTCTCCGCACCCCGCAGCATCGCTGCATTGAGACGCGCGCGTGAGTACGATCGCAGTTGGACGGTTGGCGAACCGTCATCTTCGAGACCGCCGTCGCGGGGAACCGCATTTCGCGCAGCACCGCGCCTCCTCCGAACCGCCCACCACCCGCCTGTGTGGAACGCACGCGTATCGTTGCTACAACGGCACTGCCACAGCCCACGTGCGCGTGTAAGTACGGCACGGGTACACGGCGGCTAAGAGTTCGCGCTCATCGCGCGATCGGTTTCTCGCCTCTTCAAAATTCATCTTCAAGCCAAATCGCCCGTCAACTTCGACTCATTCTGTCAACTTCAATGCAACTTCGATTCATCTTCCGCCGACTTCAATTTTCAACTTCCATCCACTGCAAACTCATCTCCATTCGCATCTTCAATCAACATTCATTCATCTTCCTTCAACGGCCTCTTTCGACTTTCAGCATCTCAACCTCAGCTTCAAAATTTTGTAAAAAAAAACCTGTAAATATTTTTCTTTTTTTTAAAGGGGGGAGTAATGTGGCGAACCAGTGTTCACCACATGCTCCCTCCCTATGTCGGTCGCGCTCCCAGTGTTGGCAGCACCGCTCGGCCCTCCACGTCGTTCGCGACCGCGAAGCGTCGGGCGGCTGCCAACGGGCTCTCGCTCGGCAACCGTCAACCGACGTACACGACGTGCACAGTCCGTCCCGCCGCCATGTTTCGACGCCGTTCAAAAACCGCCGCACAATGACGCACGTGTCCGCGTTTCGTCGTCCCGTCTAAAAACCACGTCAGCACGCCCGCAAGCACGCCGCCGCTACCACTGGTACGCTCACGGCACCCCGAGGCACGACTTTGGTTTTTACCCTACGACGACACCGCGCGCCCACGACTCACATGACGCCGCACCCGAGCGCCGCCGACATTTTCGCCACTGGCTAATCAAAACTGTTCCTTAACATCTGGCTTACAATAAATACCGTCTACTCGCAAAACCAACCCGAGTGTATTTATTTCATTCCCCCTGTTTATGTTGGCCGCGTAAGTTGCGTGAACCTCACCTAAAACCTACGCGCGCCACAATACCTTGGCTGATTTAAACGTCAGAAACATAGAATTAGGTCTAGGAAGACATCAAAGAAATAATGTTATTAGATATTTATCACATAGAAATGTTCAATAAAAATATTATTATAACTACTTTTTTGTAATGTTCTGTCAGAAGATATTCCGCCATATTCAGTCATTTAAATGCTACTTAAAATTAATTTAAGTGTCACCTAAGCACAGTTAGGTTGGGTTCCTTATGGGTTAACTGTCACTTGAGGTTTCTCTTAAAATTAAGTTGTGAATAGACCACCCTTAACGGGTCTGTAAACTGTTTTATTTTTAGTAATTTCAACATAAAAATAATAATAGAATCAATGTGTTAAAATTGTTTACAAAATTATAGTTTCACTGTGTATCGATATTTATGTTATTTTTTTTAATTCAATTTTAAATACCTAACGTTTTCTCGAGAGCCAGTTAACCAAACAAATATTTTTATCAACGTCAATTTGATCTCCGCAGTATTTTATAATAGAATTTGTTCCACTGTCTTAAATCATAATACAACTCATAAATATGTAAATCCAAATCTTTATTATTAACAAAAAACAAAATAAAATGTATAACATATGTTTGTAGTAAAAATTTAAATCACAAAATATAATAACCAATGTTCATAACTTACATAACATTACTATTAAATAAAAACAAAAACAAAATAGGTAACTTCCTGGTAAAATAAATAACTTTTAAAACTATAAGTAAAAAATTAAAATAACAAAATATAATAACCAATGTTCATAATTTACATAACATTACTAATAAATAAAAACAAAAACAAAATAGGTAACCTCCTGGTAAAATAAGTAACTTTTAAAACTATAAGTAAAAAATTAAAATAACAAAATATAATAACCAATGTTAATAACTTACATAACTAAAAAATCAGTTTTAAAACGTAATTTTACCAGTCTTTAGTTGTTTAAAGGTTTGTATGCAACTTTCCGTTTATAAAACCAACGAATAATGTTTCTAAATTTCTTAGACTTACATTTTTTTCTTCCATCAGTTTAAGTTTTTTTTCGTAGTAGGCGGCTTTCATGTCACATTTTTTCTCAGCTATATTTGCTAAACGATTTGCCGCTGAATTGCTTTCTCCCAATTTGGACGCAACAGTAATTTTTCTTTTCAATTCTATAATATTTAATGTATATTACAATATTGTTATTTTTTTATAAATAACCTTAGTCTGAATTTTAATGACAAATAAATAATAATAACTTTCCTAAATTGTATTATCAATAGCCAGAAGGACTAAGATTTTGCTGTACTAAAAATTACTTAAAGATTGGAAAGTGGACCTTAACTTTTGACACCCCAAAGTACCAACTAGATTAACTGTCCTACCAGAAAATATGCCAATGAAGAAAATTAAGGCATTCTTACTGCCCCAAAAAATAATGACAGACACAAATAAAAATAAAAAAAGTGTTATTCTCTAATCGTATAAATGATAAATTATTGTTTAAGTTCATACTTGGTTGAGCCCTGATTTTAGTTGATGGCTTCGAAGTTGAAGGTTTGTCGGAATTTTCATTTACAGCTACAATATCTTGTTTTAAGGATGTGTAAGTATTACTTGATTTATCAGCTTCTTCATCAATTAATGGAGGATTCTCATTTTCACTGTCATTGCAAAATGATTCCACCAATTCTTCAGCACACAATCCTTCAGCTTCTAAACACAGCACAATAATAATAATCATTGCTTATAGTCTATAGACCTATATAATGAATCATTATATTAACTATAGTAAAAGCTGAGAGAAATGAAAATATTTATTTTTTTATTAGTTACCTATCAAATAATATTTATCAGTAGAATAAAAAAAATATGAAATCCCATACACATAAATAATTGATTTAATTCAATTTAAAAACTATACAGTGCAATTATTGAAGTAAGACTACCACATTCTTTTTTTTATAAAATAAATGAATTTGTTTATTTACCAGTTATCACATCATCGGTTGTGCCATCAAAGACAAACTCAACAATTGATTCAAGAGATTCGCTGTGACCACTAATTAATGCTTGACTTAATAAAGGTAGAGTTTCTATTTGAATTTCATTTAATTCAATTGAACATGATGGTCCACCACATAAGCGCAACTAGGGGGGGGCTGGGGGGCTTAGCCCCCCCTAAACTTGTAATAGCCCCCCCAAAATAAATTATTCAATTGTTTCGTAAAAATGAATAAACCTTAATTATTACCTAATTATTATTGTTTTTGGAAAATAATTAAATAATTAAATTTTTTTCCAAATACTAACTAAAAATACTAAATATTATTTGCTATAATATGTATGTATTTGTTCGAAACGATTTATATTGATATACCTATTGGTACAATGGTACGATTGTTATACATAACAATGGTCGCTCCGCTCCGCAAATCGAAAATATCCCTCGACTTGCTGTGCAATATCAGCTCAAGTTGGTCACAAGGTAACCGCCGTTAAACCATGGAACAACCACTCTTATCATTTTCGAACAAGTGCTTATCACTCTCGACCAATCGATTGAACGACATAAGTTTTTGTGTGTTTTAACGTTTTTAACGTTTTGTGTGTTTTAAACGTGTTTTAACATTTCCTATCTGTCGGCTGTTGCATTTGTAGACCTCGTTGAAATAATGGACAACCATAACAAAAATAAAAAGTGTTTTTCGATTTTTAACTTTTCAACTAAAAAGTCTAATAAAGATTCTAATGTAAACGATGAACAACCAGAACAAGTACACAACGACGATTATCTGCTTGCTAGTAGCAGTAGTACTAGTATACCACATGTTATTGCACCCGATGTGTCATCATCACCACATGTAAGTGTTACTACTGTTAGTACTGTAACTGTGTCGCATAAAGTTATTATAATATTGTCATTACAATATGCTGTCTGGGTTAAAGATTAAACCAATTATATTTAATTAAAATAATAATACACCATATAGTCAATATAAAGCATGAATACATGTATGTATGATTGATTATTTTATATTTTTATGTATTAAACCTATAACTTTTTATAGCTTTAACTGCTTTTAGTTATAATTTATTTATATGATCAGTTTATAATTGGGCACAATGCATTAAATTTTTTTGAATTTAGGCTTATCCTAAAACCAAATTTGGTGCGCAAAACCGATCCTTTTCTTCGGCTTACTATAAAGAATTTAACTGGCTAGAATACAGTATCAAGTTAAATGCCTGCTTTTGCTATGCTTGCCGTTTATTTGCAGTAGATTCTGGTCATATTGAAGACACATTTAAGACTGCTGGTTTTAGTAATTGGAAAAAAGTAATTATTAGTTATTACTTATTTGCATAATATGTATAACTATCAACTATAGGTGATTGCTGTCACCTTGTTCAGTCTATAAATATTTTGAGTACTCAGCTTCAATTAAAGGGAACAACTCTGGGCCAATCAGGAAATTTAGTTAAAGGAGTAATTTTAACGCTTGAAAATAATCGAAATAGTGAACACTTTTCTGAGCTTTGGGATAATATCAAAAAATTTTGTTTGGAACATAATATTTCAATTAATATGCCAGAGCAAGGTAAAAACTATTACAATTAAAAACATCAGTTTAAATGAAGACAATACAGTTTTATAATATTAACAGGATTAAAAAGACTTAGAAAAGAACCTACTTACTTAAGCGTATATGATGTAACTGTTTCAACTGCAGCCGACCAACAGACCAATAACTGTTTAAGTGATGATGATTCAAATAAAAAAGAATATTGGAAATTAAATGCCTTCTATGTAATCATGGACTCAATAATTAGCAGTTTGAAAGATTTTCTGAAGAAAGTTTAAGCATCGCTACTTCAGCTGATCGACTGATGCAATTTGACTATGAAGGAAGCTCATTCTTGGTTGAGCATTATAAGGTTGGTTAATGGTTAGGTACCTAATATCAATGTATACAAAAATTTTATAGTAAAATTTATTTTCAGCATGTATTAAACATTAACGAAAATGATTTAAAAAGTGAAATGTTGGTGTTAAAAAATGTTATTGGTGATAACTTAAAGGACATGAATTTCATAAAAGAAAATTTGAATAAAAAAGTGTTTCCTAATTTGTACTTAATGGTACAAGTAGCTATTACTTTGCCAATTTCATCTGCCACATCAGAACGCTCCTTTTCAGCGATGAGAAGGATAAACACATATTTACGTTCCACAATGAACCAGGATCGGTTCAGTAATCTATCAATTCTTCACATCGAAAAAGATATTGAAATTAAAATCAATGAAATATTACAAATATTTATTGACAAAAATAAAAGAAAAATGAAACTTGAATAAATAAATATTTGCTTTTTTTGTTTGTGTGTTTTATATTTTTAAGTAAATATATATGGGTGTGTGAGGACAATGCCCCCACGGGTTACATTTCATGTAATATCAGGTGGGGCTACAGCCCCCCCAAAATGTTAGCCCTAGTTGCGCCACTGGTCCACCACCTGTACCTCCTAGATGTCTTTTAATAGCTGCAGCTTTTGACTTTGTGATATTTCTGGTATCTTGCCATGTCTAAAATGTTACAACCACAAATGAGTAAAATACTGATGAATATGCAATTAAGTTTTTCAATAAGAAAAACTTTTTCCGAGTTTTCATTAGTGCTTTATTTTAAATAATATTTGAATAGTATAAATAATTGTAGAATTAAATTATATTATGATTTTTATTTTCAGTATGACTTTTTGGTACTTAGAGTCAAGATTAAGTGTATGAACTAGCAAGAGAACCTAAAGTTTGGCTTTGGTTACAGTATTTTTGACAAATTTTTAGTTGTGTATAGGTTATGGATTCAGAAACAAATACTTAAAATTATAAAATAAATATCTACACCAAACAAAGTTAATTACTTTTTTCCATTTATGCCAATCCTTCTCAGCTCCTGGTAACGAATTTAACTGAACGGCGATACTTTCCCATCTCTGTTGAGCGATTTTATGTGTGAAAGATTGGGTAAACTTACTTGAACACAATTGCGGATCGTGTGCCATCAGATCAACCAAACACTTCATTTGATTATGAGTTGGTCTTACTCTATACATTATAAGTATAGTCGAATTACTACTAACTTATTACAAAATACAAATATAACTTTTTTAAAAATTTAAAGATTGGTAACAAAATATAACACCAAAGTTTTTGATTTTATAAATTAAATCTTTTATTGATAACATTCAGTATTTCAGTGATAAAGGAATAAATAAAAATGTATATAATTTTCCAGTTTGTTTGAGGTTAAAATCTAGATTTTGTATTGTTACCATAGATTTTGTATTGTTACCATAGATTTTGTATTGTTACCATAGTGGTTCATTCGATTAACTATATCGCATTCGACAAGTGATAAAATCTTATCGATTTCGGTTCAAGAATACCAATTGTATGTCGCATGCGATAAAAATTAGTCACAGTCGATAAAATGTATGACTTATGTCGCATGCGAGAATTAGTCGTATGATTTCAAGAATTGGCCCCCTGGATCGATACTGATAAGTAACTAGGCGAGAAGTAACATGGGAAGATTGGGAAGTCCACATTTTACTATATAAAATATTATATAAATATAGGTCATATAGATATCAAGATATATCGTATCTTAAAGATAAGATTTCAGGCAGAATCATATAATTGACATTTTATATGTAGCGTACCTAATATATTATAGCAATACGTACACTAATACAATTTAGACTAGGTAGGTATACGTTTTATAAAATATTCACATACACCGCGTATAATTGTAGACTATACATTTTATTATAATACCTACAATTATTATCATTTTATACATTTTATACAATTTAGACTATACATTTTAATATTTTATAATATATTCACATACACATATTAATCAGAATATATACATTTAAGTTTTGAATTATACAATTATTATTAACATTTTATACAATTTAGACTATACATTTTAATATTTTATAATAAAACAATTTATTAAAATAATTAATTATTTAATAATTTATTATATTAATTTAAATAATTTTATAACAAGAGGGGGGAATAAACAGTAGCCGGCGAAATCGATGTGTAGATATTTTAAACAGTAGCCGGCGGAATTAATAGCCGGCGGAATCGATATGTAGATATATCGATATACGCCCGTGTGAAACGTCGATCGTAGTACGGGCTAGGCGATCTGAATTCGCCAAGTATATTTTATTTTGTGTTTGTTATTTAAATATAATAAAAGTGTTTCCGACTTGAAAACCTGAGTTACAATTATTTAAGTCATTCTTAAGTTCTTACCTTTAATAGGAGCAGCGGCGGGATATACTTACTATGTGTCAATGAGGTTTTATTAAACTGAATAGTGCCAAGGTATATGTAATCTTTGAGTCATTTTACTAGATTGGAATGAACTTAGGATTGACAAACGCACACCATTGTACCTCCAAGTTAACAGTGCCATTCTAATTAATTTTAGAGAGTGTCCCTCACAGCATTGCAATATTCATTAAATATTGACCAAACATTGCAGTTTAATATTTAATCATTAATTAATATATAAGATCCATTGATGGCACATTTTTAAATGTTAATAGTCATTGTATAAATGTGTTGTGAACAAGAATTAATCGTTTTAATAATAGTACTTATTAATATTATTTAATATTAAGAATTAACATTTATAAAAAGTTTATTAAATATTTTCCAACATTGACCCAAATTTGAATTAATTTTCAATTTCATTATTTGAAATGTTAATTTGTCATTAATATGTAATGTATACTAATAATTAAATTCATTGATGATTTAACTATTAATATACATTAGATCAATATATGTAAAAATAAAATACATAATATATTATTATGGATTTTGTTAAATACAAATTGTTTTTTTTTTGTAGATATCAAAATTTAAATTGAATGCAATTGATTTGTGAAAACATAAATCATGTTTCATGATTAAGACTGTTTTAAAGTTTACTTATAAAAGAATTATTAAACCATTCTATTTAAATGTCTTATAATATATGTCTTATTAATTAATATATAAATATATACTAGAATATAAAATATTTGATTAAGAAGAATATATAACGTTTATTAATTATTAGATATGATATAGTAGTGTTATGGACATATTATTAAACAACTATTTTTTTTAAATTATTAAATATATGTATTAATGTATATTGTATATATATATATATAATTGTATATTATATATATTTGTATATTTTGTTTTAAAAGTAATTTTAATTTATAACATAATATATAATATATGTTAATGTTATAACAATAATTTGCTAAATGCTTTTATTTTGTTTAGAAGCTAATCTTTTTAAATTAAAAGGGGCTTGCGCTAAAATGTATTTTATGACTTCTTCAATTTCATTCAATGGAGTATTCTTAAATTTTGTTTGTTTCTTAACTGCACCTAAAAAGTTGATTACAATTATATTAATTATCAATTATATAATTGTATATACTTATTATATAATATACTCATTATTGGCATATAATAAATAATAATGGATAATACTTTTGTATTATATTATTATGAATGATGAGCCTAGTATAATTTGGTGGCTATAAATAATGTCTGATAAAAAATGTTAATACCCAGATATCAAGTTTAAAAAAAATTTAATTTGATAAATCAATACTTGGAGAAAGAAATGTGTAGTATTATATATACTACTTATTATTATAGATATATTATAATTATTCTTACCAAATACAACAGAGCATACTGATAGACTTGCAAATTTATCTTTTCCTTTTTTCCCGGTGTATGAGTAATTAGAAAGTAAACTGTCACAAAATAATTTGGACATGATTCGTTTTACAACTAATTTAACATTTTTTCCACCTATATATGAAAGCTCAGTAACCTGAAAAAAGTTGTATTTAAAATTAATAATTAATTATATTAAATATTTTTTAATCCATAATTAAGACAAAATAAGTAGTGCCAAGTATAATACTTTCATCTAGATGCTAATATGAGGTTAAAGTTATGTATGTTTTTCTAATTATTATTGGAGTGCTAGCCTTATATGTGATATACTATATTATCCTGCATTGGTATCGTCATTACAAGTGAAAAATATATTATTGCCATTTTCATGCGAAATTGCAATTATATTTTGTATAAGAACTAACAACATTAATTTATAACAGAACTAGACAATTTTAGAGATTTTCCTATCGAAATTTGTATTAATAAAAACATAATAAAATAGAAAATTAATTAATTTTTAATAACTTACTAATTGACTTTTAAAATCTTGGTCGCCAGATATTTTGTCTTCAAATATAGTAAGGTCAATATTGTTGTTGATTGGAAGTGGACAGTTTGTTAAATCAATGCTATAATCTTTTTCCTTCCTTTCAAATCGACCTGAACTTTGCTCCAAAATATTTTCAGCAGTTTCTAATCTTTGCATCATAATTATTTGATTGCTCAAGACTTGTTTTACTTCATACTTCAAAAATGTTAAATTTCTTAAAATTTGATTTAGACATTCAGTATCTAAACATATTATTATAGCGTGTTATTATTCTTGTCATATTTTAAAAGATAATATATTTAAATTGCCAATAGTACCTTTGCTCAATTCAAGCGGTTTTGATGATGATGTTGATGCCGAATTGTGTTCATTATTAATACTTTTCTCCATTTGGCTTACTAAAGTTAAATATATTTTGGTAATTAGCAAAAATAATAATTTTTATATAAATTATAAGCATAATTAAAATCTTACAATAAGTTGTTTGTTTTCGTGAAGTATCCAACAGTTCATTATTTAGTTGTTCATCAAATACCAACTGCTTGGCACTTGAAATTTTACTACGATCTAGATTAACATGTTGCAGACTTGTCTCTAACATTAAGAAAAATAGTAAAATTATGTTGAAATGTATAAAAAAACAAAGTACAGAGTAATGTCCATGCTAATAAAAAACTGTATAGGTAGTTACTTTTTATTTTTTTTGGTGAGTAAGGAGACCATCCAGGATTTATTTGTTTACAACTGAACTTTTTATTATTTTTTAAGCTTTTCGTCAAATATTCGTGATCATCATTTTCAATATCTAATTTATAGTAATAATTTTAAAATATATTATTATTTTTATCATATCTTATAAGATAATACATTTAAATTGCCAATAGTACCTTCGCTTAATTCAATCGGTTTTGATGATGATGCTGAATTGTGTTCATTAATACTTTTCTCCATTTGGCTTACTAAAGTTAAATATAATTTTGGTAATTAGCAAAAATAATAATTTTTATATAAATTTTAAGCATAATTAAAATCTTACAATAAGTTGTTTGTTTTAGTGAAGTATCCAACAGTTCATTATTTAGTTGTTCATCAAATACCAACTGCTTGGCACTTGAACTTTTACTATGATCTAGATTAACATGTTGCAGACTTTTCTCTAAAATTAAGAAAAATAATAAAATTATGTTGAAATGTACAGAAGTACAGAAGAAACTGTTTAGTTACTTTTTATTTTTTTTGGTGAATAAGGAGACCATCCAGGATTTATTTGTTTACAACTGAACCTTTTATTATTTTTTAAGCTTTTCGTCAAATATTCGTGATCATCATTTTCAATATCTAATTTAGCAATAATTTTAATACAAATATATTATTATTTTTATCATATTTTAAAAGATAATAAATTTAAATTGTCAACAGTACCTTCATTCAATTTTATCGGTTTTGCAGATGATGATGATGATGTTGATGCCAAATTGTGGTCATTAATACTTTTACGATCGGACCTTTTATTATTTTTTAACTTTTTATCTTTTGAATATTCTTCATCACTTTCAATATCTAATGTATATCAATAATTTGCATACAAAAAGAAGCGTTAATGTTTAAATTAATTTACAAATAGAAATCAATATCAACAGTTTAAGCAATTATGTTTTTTTATACCATGGTCGGAAAATAGTGGCACAGAAGAAGTCGATGATGAAGGAGAACTAGGTCTGTTTAATACATTAATTGTTTCATCCTCAGATAATGAAAATTCTGATTTATATTTTGCTACATCTGCTA